TTTGTTTTTGTAGCTTTACTGGTTCATATATATATAATCATATAATGTCCATATCCCCTATGCTCTCTGGATACCAAACAATGAAACACTTTATGAGTTCAATGCTCTATCTGTTGAAGTATGAAAGGAGGTCAGGTTTTTAGGTTATGTGAGGCAAAGGGGTCACAGAGTTTAAAGCAATGCTGATTTATGCCTTACATAGAACGTGTTCTTATATCTGCATGGGTCTCCTTTAGGATGAGATTTTGTGGAGTTAAATATACCTGTCCTCAAATACAGCATTTATTGTAAAGGCAACATAACCTTAAAAGGTGACCTAAAAGACATTGAAGTCCTTTTAAATACATTTCTTAAAAATAATCTGAAAGTCAATATATAATCAACCCATTCCTTCACAAAATATGTGCCAATAATAGAAAACAATAGACAATATAACCAAATCAAATTGTGTTCACTAAAAGAATCTCTTGTATGTAAACCGAGCTCCCTAATACTTTGATATTAGAAAAAGAGATGCCATGGATAATGGATTTAAATTCTGAAATGATACCTTCTCTTTTAAATTAATAAATACATATTCTAGCTGTACTATAGTCTCCTGGTTGACTTGGTTGCCATAGTGAGACCCATGATAAACCTTATTTTCTCTTCACACAGTAACCATTGTGCACTTTGAAAATGATAAAGACACACTAAGTTGTGATAAATCTACCAATATATTATTTTTAGCTTGGAGGTCCTGGGGAAGAGAAGCACGGAGAAGTATGAAGTTCTATGTTATAATTAGGAAGGGTATTTTTCTAGAAAGTGAGATGACCTGTCATCTTGCTAAAAATGAAAACCACTTTTGCTGAATTTTTAAAGAAATATTAGGTTTGCATATCATTAAGTATAACATATGGATGAGATACTACCAGCTTTTCACATTGCCTGGCACTTAGTAAGAACTCAATGTATTTTAGCTGTTACTGTTAACTGCAGCTGCTGTTGTCATTATTTAAAAAGAGGTCATTCTTTGGAGGAGGCAGACCTATTTTGAATTCCAGGCAGCCCTTCTATTTATTAGTTCCCTGGCTTTATGGAGGTTACAAATTTTTTCTTTCAGTTCTTTCATTATTAAAATGGGGATAATGATACTTATCTTGCAGAGTTATTACCCAAATTAGCAATAATACATGGAAAGCACCTAGCATAGTGCCTGGCATATTAAGTTTTCAGTAAATGGCAGCTATCACTATTATAGTGACTATTATACAAAGTCAGTGCCTGCAACAACATGCAGTTAAACAGGTTTTGTGTAATTCACTTCTCTGAAGTCACTGATTAAGATTGTATATTGTTATTTTTTATTATAAGCCAACCCCATCTTGACTCTATGGCAGATATCAAGAAAGTTCAGCTCTTACTTTAGGGAATTAAAATTACAGCAATACAAAGACAAATAAAAAATTTCATCAGATGAAGAAGAAATATAGTATTTGAGATAAAGTGCCCCAACATTTACACTTGTCCTATTTTTTCACTGCAAAGAACTTTCATTTTGCAAATCTTTTTATGAACGTTATTTTTGATCTTGAAAGGCTTTATGAAGGTGATGTTTTATAAAAGACAGATGGCTGGCTAGATCTCATAAAGGAAGTTAGAGAAAAAAACATTATTTTCTTCTTTTCAAGCATATTAAAATATGTTAATACATAGAATCTAACTGATTAATGTGACCTTAAGAAAATATATTGAAAGATTGATTTTCAAATTTCTAAAATAAATAAACACATCCTAAGAAAAGCATTTCTGACTTATAGGCATAGGGAAATGCATAACAGAAGGAGCTACTAAATCAATAAGAGAATTTAAAGAAAACTGAGTGGGGTAGTAAACCATTCGAGGCTTAGGTGTATTCAATCAGCTTAATATAAGTGTCACATAGTGAATTATCTCCCTTGCTAACTTATCAAAAAGTACCAAATCACTTGAAGAATTTGTTTTTAATATTATGAGAGCTCCTTCTGGCATGAAGCTATAGCTCCTGGTTATGGGCTCAAGATATGAATATTATGTTTTTTAGTTGTATTAAATTGTATTAATTGTAAATACGAATTTGAAAACAAACATTTTTTTTTGTTTCTGTGAAAGGGGATAGGCATACATCTACATAACTTTAAAATGATATTTTTAAAAGTTGTCACTATTACAACTATAATATACTCAAAGGAGTTCTTAAAGGAGTTTGAACAAACATTTCCTACTGTAAGACTAAAATATAATTAATCACTTGGTTAATAATGAAAACATAAAATGAGTTGAGAAGCAAAAATGCCATCTGTGCCCTCAAAAAAAGCCTACAAGGCTTATAAGACAACACAACACACCACAGTGCAAGTTTTCAAACGTTCGGTAAGAAGATTAAATGCAATCATAGGGAAGTTGGTGGTGATCCCTCTGAGTTCTAATGAGTGAGAAATGGGGGAAATGGGATTTAAGATGGGGAGATTCAAAGACCTTAAGGTGAGTGAGAAATCAGTTAAGAATGGCAGTTCAGGAGGCAGTGAGTGGAAGAACCTGACTGGAGTCAGAGTGGGCACTGGTAGTAAGACTCAGTGAACTGGATTATAGGGCAGCTCTCTATTTGATTTAATGTAGGCATCAGGCATACATAAAAATTGACAGATATCTGACATTCTACCAGCCCTAGTAGGATAATTTTCCTGAAGCACTGCTATCATCCTGATTCACCTTTTCAACATGAACCCTGGCTACATCCCCAAATTTCAAGGTTATTTTAAGATTTGCATAAAATTTCCAGAGATGTTGATTTGAATGTTAGGCTTCTCTAGGCTCTGGCAATTGTGCCTTATTGTAAAATTTAAAGTATAAATACAAGTAAAAACAAATGCCCTATTAGAAAATCTACAATGTGAGATAAGATATGGTAAGGAAAGTAACATTTACTGAGCATTTTCTCTTCCACAACTATAACTGTATATTAGCTATTGTCTCAATTCTCATAGCATCTCGGCAATGTAATGCTGATGATAATTAGCAACAATGAGAGCACTTATGTGGGTTGAACTATACAGTGCTAATATTCAGCATTTTTTTACCAACAATTTCATATGGTTCAACCTAATACTTGCCAGTTATTGGAGTAATTTCTATATATACAGCATTTCATTAATCCTCTCAGCAATCCTACCATGTGGTTTTACTGCTGAAGAAAGTGGAGGCCAAAGAATACTTTGTCAAAAGTCAACTGGAAAACAAAGCCCTAAACAAATATTTGATTTTCCTTATTCCTAAACTAATTTTACTTTTATTATACATGATTCAAACCCTCATTACAACAATCATGGAAAGGATACTTTGGAATGAGAATATATGTATCTGCATTCATCTAAGTGTCTATGTAAATCCACATTCATATTTTGTGTACATCTGCATACATTGTCACTGTAATTTCTACAAAAATACATACACACACACACACACACACACACACACAAGCATCCTTTTCTCTGATAATATTTCTCCTTTGAAATGTCTCCAAAGTCTTATAAGAGTTTTACATTCCTATAAGATTATTGATGGATATTTATAATCCATTACTGAAGAGTTCGTTCTTTGGCACTTGTTCAAGGAGGACACAAAATAGTAAAACTTTTACAGGGATACATGAAGAGAGAAAATGTTCCAAATATAGTTCAGTAACTATCTTTCTCATCTTTTCCCCTTAACTATTTTTTAATTTATTGATCCCTGCATTATGATTATCTATCAAAGTAATAAAGCTACTGTTTCAGCCTTACACTGTATCTACATACTGCTAGCATCAAGGATCAGTTCAATAAAAAGGGCAAATAACTTTATAAAAACCTGAATAAAAGTCATCTAAGTGAATGTCCTATTTTCTTATTGGCTATGCTGGAGTGTACATGCCGCACTGGCAGCTGTGGGTCACTATGGAAGCACAAACTGAGGATCATCTACTGGCTAATAAGCGCTGAGATTAATGAAATCAAAATTTTCTGATATGTTATCTATTTCTAGATGCAATGTCCTTTAAATGTCTTGAGTATAAATATATTTGACTTATCATTTTTCATGGAATACAAACTTTGAGTATCAAAGATTTCCTTTGTGTTTAAAAAGATGGAAACGTTAAATTGTATATTAATGTAATAGACAAAACACACGTTCATCTTGCAAAATTTCACATAACTTGAAAATTTAATTTAGTAGTTTACGGATCCTGTGAAATACTCATGCAATTGATCTGACATAGTCATATGAAACAGAATGTGTTTTGTAAAACTATGGTCATAGCCCATATAAGGGTATATTCATTAAAATAAACATTTTCTTATTTAAAATGGAATTCAATTATAAAGGGAAATTTTAAAAAAAGCTCTGTGAAACTATCTGAATGTTCTTTCAAAAAGCTAATGTTATAAAGAGAGGACCCAGAATAATTGTATACAAAGATTCAAACTTGAAACTCTTCATAAATTAATCCACAGGAGTAAAAGATATGAACTTAATGGTCTGGAATAGTCACTTCAAATTGTAAGATTCCAGAGGAGAAACTTGAAACAAGACTACAAATGAATAATATGATCCAAAGCATAAAGATATTACATGCTAATTTTAGAAAGACCCACAGCAGGTTGAATAGATTAAACGACTTGTATTTAAAAAATCTATTGATGTCTCAAAATTACAAGCAATAAAATATGAACAGCTGGTTCTTTTTACTAGTTTCTGTGCGAAAATGATTATTTTCTGCAGGGTAGTTACTGACTGATTTATTCCTATTTCCATTTGCTTGCATTTTAATGTTCCCAGCACTTAAAAGAGGTCATACTTTGTAAGTAAATGCATTTGAAATGATAAAAACTGTCAAATGTTAATACCTTCTCAATCATTGGTTAAATGTATATTATTAATTTTTTTCTGAGACAGTTTTAAAGTGTCAAATGAAACAGAAACTCTTTGGCAATACCAACCATGATAACTGAGCACAAAAAAGCCACTTGTTGTGAAATCACTGTGGAATTTAATTAGAATCTGATTTGAAGTGCTATAGACCGATTCCAAAGCAGTATTGCCACTGAATTGCCCAATCTGAGGTGAGTTTTGGTCTGGTCCATCCCTATTAGACAGAAAAGCAGGGAGGGGAGAAAGAGATTGAGATTGACTGTTCTGTTGAATTTTACATGAACTTCAATGAAAGTGTTACACTTGAGATGATAAAGATGCAGTAGATGAAATAACCAATGAGTGCCAAATCATATTGGTATAAGTTATGTTAAGTTAGGTGATAGCATATTTAAAAATGTACAGCATAAAAATAAATCGTGTTTTTCCCTAAATGAAATGCATATTAGTTGTAATCAATTACAAGTCTTCAGTTTTCTGACCACAGCCTCAATCTTCCCAAGTGCTGAGGTATGTCCTTTTATTTTCTTCAAAAAGATCTTGACAACCACAGATTGTTAAATTTACAAAGAATCTTAAGAATCATACAGTAGTTCTGTTAACCAGTTATGAATAATTGATTGAGGGATTTTCTTTATAATTTTCAATAAATATATTTCAATTAACAAGGTAATAATGCAAATATAATATTTGATAACAAGTTACTATGGCAGAAATTCAATACTTATATTAAACTGTGTTTTGAATATAGGCTTTTAAATCTTAATGGTTTTATAAATAGAGACCTTTCTTACCTTACTGTTATTAAGTCCCTATTCTGGCACATTAATAATAAATTTAAATTATTTTGCATCCATCAAGTTTCTATTCTAAGTGTTTAGCTACTTGATGCTCAAATAAGCCAAAATGTATTTCTCTTGTCTCATTCTACAAAATATATATTGTCTCCCTCGGTTATTCACGCCAACTCAAATATCGCATGGTAATTTGTACAGAAGATTGTGACATATTTTCATTCCTACCTTGTTTTACTGTTATATATAGTTGTATCAATCAATAACAATGGTCCAGGCTTACCATACAGTAATGAAATCATAGATTGGTTCCGTTTGAAGGACAGTAAAATTGATGTAGATTCCATTCCCAGGGGGTACTCTTACAAGCCAAAAACAGTCTTGAAAGTTTGGATATTCATCAGGATACCCAGGGGAGTAAATGGTGCCATTCATTGCAGTTATATTTCCTCCACAAAGAGCTACAGAAAAGATATAAAACAAAATGTTAAAATAACAATAGACTGATTATAAAGAAAAAGGCATAAAATGCATACCACTTTCTAGTAACATCTGTGTTTTATTTTTTCCTTAAAGTATATTAAATGAAGTTGGCAATCATGAACAGAGTATCATCAGCTTTTTATTTTTCAATATGAGGTATATAACTTAAGTTACTGTCACTGGATTTGTAAATTACTGTCTTCTTTTTTTTTTCAAATATTTTACCAATATGTACACTGTTCAACTCTTATCGTATAGCATGTATACATGTAAGGCTTTATAAAAGGTTCAAGTCCTTTTATTTAAAAGGATTTGTTTTAGAGGAAATGAGAACAGATTTAGTAGCTGTTATCTGCAGTACTGGTTTATACAAGAATGATTATTAAACTCAAGTACATGCACTCACACACACACACACACACACACACACACACACACACACACACAAGAGAAGCTCTAAAGTGTTAATCAACTTAATTTTCATTTCAAATTGGGAAGATTAGGACTCCTGTCAATAGTGATAAAAGCAGTTATTCCTTATACAGTATATTAGCTACTAACTATAATTCTTCAACTGAAAAAGAGACTGAATATGTAGCATGCTATTTGAAGAGGAAGACTAAACGAGAGTCCAAAACGAGAACTTTTAAACACAGATGACATCACCTAAAAGACAGCTTCAAGTTAGAAGCATACCTTCACACCTTGGAAGAGGATGATTCCAATTACGACTCACTCCATGAAGGCAAGTGAGAGCTGAATTTCCCATTAGCGTGTACCCAGGGAAACACTCAAATGAAATAGTCTGACCCACAGTAAAATCATTGCCAATTACAAAACCATTTCGAAATGGGCGTGGATCAGGACAGCTTTGCAACTGATAGGCTGGAAAACAGAAAAAGACATATTTCCTTCTTAAATTTTGGGAGATCACAGATAGGAACTCTTTGCAACTTGCAAAGTAGAATTAGTGCTGTTTCATACTACTGGTTATAAATAGTAATTCAGGTCTATGATGAATGATGTTAATGACTATGATATAAATTTCTTCTCATGTCTACAATTTCATGTTTAGAATGTTAGTACAGTTCATAAAAATGCATTCAATTTCCTCACTCAGTTACACTATCTAAATTACAAGTTTTAATGAAAATGTAAACTACTCTTACAGACACAATTTTAATCAGACATGTTCTGATTCCTTTAAGCAGAATGCAATTGCTTCCTGGTTACACTGCATGTACATAGAATAAAATAACTGTATGTATAAATGTAATTCTTTGACTTTTTTCACTATTTTTTTCTTTAAAAAACCAAACTATAACATCCTTCTATGAGTTTCTCCAAAGAAGTTTGTTTAATAATACAAGGTATTAGGAAATGAATTCCCTTCTCAAATACATTTTGAACTTCAGTGTTCATGAGATTTTTGGCACTATAGTATAAATGGATATTTGTTTATATTGCCCTTATTCATAATCTATAAGAGATCAAAATTCATTTCTTTATTATTGCATCCTAAGAGCCATGTCATTACCTCTTACATAGTAGGTGTTAAATAAGCATTGCTGAATAAATTTTGTACCTCTAAAGAATGTTTGTATTCATATGTTATTATCTGGGACTTTGTTTTTAAGAAGTTCAAAATCGTATTATAATTCATAAAATATACATTACTGGTAGAAATGTTTCATTACTGACAGTAAATTCTAACTACCTCAAATCAAAAAATGACATTTGAAGATCAATAAACCACCCTAAGCTATTTATTAAAATATAACTCCAACTTTTAAATTAGAGGCTTTCTGAATTAATGAACAATCATTTTAGAAAGTGCTTTCTTCTTATCTTTTTTATTTGAATGAATGTATTACACACAAAAGTAAGAACACCAAAAGTCATTCCAACTAAGACAAATGTGTATCATTTGGTCACTAGGAGTTGGAATGTATTATTTTATTAAACTCTTTCAATTTTCACTCACATTTAAAAGATAATTTCCTATTTTATTGAGATTTAATTGGTGCAGTACTGCATGAATTTAAAGTGTACAACATAATGATTTGGCTTACATAAATTATAATATGATTACCACAATAAGTGGAGTTAGATAATTTTGAATAGGATAAGACTCATAGACAAATGTATGATCCTGTGATAACTTATTCAACGTTTTACCTTTCTATGCTTTTTAGTATAATAAGGAAGTATAGTAAAAAGATTTTAAATGTTCAGGGGAAAAATTCCTATCCTAATAGCAAACACAGTACAGGCCTCAACAAATCAAATCATTTAGCCAATAATAACATTAGTTTGGGAATCAAACTAATGAAGAAGGGTGCACTTTTGGGCATACTATGTATTTTTCCAAAATTGAGAAACTTCTGAGAGTCTAATCACAAATCCAAAAATAACACTGATTCTGTGAATCTGTATACATTAACCTATATCTCACAAATGCCATTAGCTCAGTGATATCAAAGCAGTAAATGAGATAGTTCTTAAATTTACAAATAATATCTAGTAATTATTGTAATAGTACATTATGGCTCATGTCAATAATATTAACATATATCAATAACAATAACACTTGCTATATCTTTATGCTTTTATTATGTAAATAATGAATCTTTTTTTCAAGATCACATTGACTGAAAAATGCAGTTAGTATAGTTCAAATTCTAGCTTTACATCGTTCAAAGAATATTATTTTGAGGGGCAGTGGGAAAAAGAAGATGAAGCCAGCTAGGGAAAATAGCAAATCGCTTGCTGTAAGACCCTGTACACTTGCTGGAGAAGGACCACAAATATAGGTCTGAGTCTTCTAGCAGCAAAGAAGAAACTCACTCAATTGCCTGATTGCCTGATTGTTTTGAAGTAACTAAATTCCTTGGGAGCGTGCTTAAATCTGTACAAGAGGTGAAAGAAATGACTGCTTTTATGTAAAGGATGATGTGTGATACAGTGCTCTTAAATTATGTATGCAAGCATAATACAAATTGTAATTATTTTAGACCCAAGTAGTTAGGTGTTACAAGGTCTATTAATTATTCTTAAATTTCCTTTTGAGTATACACTTTTATTTAGCAAATATTTATTGTACTCTTACTGTTTTTCTAGACTCTTAAGATACTTCAGTGAACAAAACAAAGATACCTGCTCTCACAGAGCTCACATCCAAGAGAATCCCATATTCATGAAAACCTTTATTAATTGTAAGTTATTTTGATTGAAAAGTGCAGTTATTGGAATTACACTGTGTAAAATATCATCATAACTTTAATATTTAACTTTAAATCTTAGACTTTCAATATTTGAAATAACATAGTAATCAATACAGTAAAAGTACATAAATAATTGCAAATGATACACATATTGGAATATATTTGGCATTAAAAAAAATTCAAAACAAATTATCTGGGAGGACCATTACTTAGTGTAGCATGCATATGAAGAAATGCAGTGGAGCCCCAGACCACTTTAGATTGAACAGGGAGAGTCAATATTTGCGCCTAGGTCTACCTGAGTGCAAACTGTATATTCGAAGTAAATTCAAAATCTTGCTCAAGGATATGTCTAATTAGAAGACAGAACTAGGCCTGATATAACTGTTGAAAATTTATTTCACATTCACATGATAATAGAATGGAATCAAGGAATGTCATATTATTCAAACATTATATACCAAAAGAATATAATTTTACATATACGAATTCTGTAAAATATCCTTTCAATACACTCATTTTGATATAAAAGCAAAAATTAATCTTTGATATCCAGCTTGCCTTGCTTAACTACCTTGCCTTGAGTTGTTTAATTTGCGTATTAAGACTTCATCAATCCTTTTTTCGCCGTTAAGATTTTCTAAAGCCTTAAGACACCCATTCTCCCTACACAAATGCCTGAAAATTGTATTATTAAAAACAATCTTCCTAATTGAAGTTTTCCTTGGTTTAGGTTCCTTTCTCTTTCTAAAACAGAATATAGAACAGAGTTAGTTAGATTACTCATAGCTGATTTTGAATAAATAAGCTTTCACTTTTTATTATTCCTCTCACCTTGGTAAATAATATGGAACCCTTGTTTGTTTTGTGAATAGTCACTGTGAAAATACAAGCTGGTTTCATGGGTGGTGCTGAAAAGGGAAGGTGGTATTTGAGGACCACTAAGTCGGCCAATAACAGTACTAGTTTCTGAGGATCCACTTCTTACTTCCAAATAATCATGTATGGTTTCTGTAGAAAAATTTACAAACTGGAGATGCACACCTAAAGAAAAAAAAATCAAAGTACTACTTTATTTTTTTTTTTACCAAATTAAATGCATGCACACATGGAAACACACACACTCACATTAATGCACTTAGATATGCTTCCATTTAGGTCAAGAAGCATAATTGCAAGATCTGGGCCACGGGTTTGCTGTCTGCCCTGGACAATTAGCTTTGCCATAGTTCAAAGTATTAGACTACTGCTCTCAAATGCCCACTATTGTCACACAGGAAAATCCCTTTTTTACTTCAGTGTTACCACAGCAAAACTAATCAAGAAAGTGGCTTTACTGCCCTTTAATAACATTCAAATTATATCAGCCAATTTTTAAAGAAAAAAAGCAGTTTGGTAATCTGTATTTTGTAAAAGGCCAATCTAAGACCAAAATAGATTTCAAAGTTTTTATATATTAACATAATCAGATTCCACAATTGCACTAGAAATTAGTCATTCATTTATAGGAGATAAATTAACTTCTCCGAAATATCATTTAGAAGCATGTAATTTATCAGTGTGCTCTTTTACTATTTTACTTTTCAGAAAATAATGAATTTAGTATAATAGTTTTAAGAGAATCTAGTGACCACTGTTATATGCTGTCATATTGCGATAGTCTTAATATTTTTATAAACATAACTAAAATATAAGATGAAATATTTCTGGGATGGAAAAAACTCAAATGAAATCCTGATTTATGTATGTTAGCCTAATCCAATTAATATTTAGTTTTAATGAATTTGATATTTTTCTTATAACTATCATTTTCCAAATTGTTAAAAATAAAATATGACATTTATCTAGTGTTTTCTTTTTGCTATGTACCAGTTTTTCATTTTTTATAATTGGGAGTTTGTACATCTTAACCTCTTTGACCTATTTCATCCATCCCTCCTCCCAGCTTGTTCTCTGTGTTTATGAGTCTGTTTCTGTTTTTGTTTGTTCATTTGTATTGTTTTTTAGATTCCACGTATAAGTGAAATCATATGATATTTTGGTAATATTAAGAATATGCTAAATAAATATTTAATGAGTTTCTGTACAATCAGACAAATTTCTTAGAACTTTGAACATTTCACCTTAATATGTGGAGCTCCATGATGTCCATATTTTTTCTAAAATTTTCCCCTGAACCCCCTTTTCACAAATTATCTTGTTGATAATTGTTTTATGGACATGAGAAAATACTTCCTTACCTGTTTATTTCTATTCAATTTTCTTTTCAAAAATTATAAATTACAAGCTCAAATACATTAGAATATAATGTGAAGATGATATAATGACACTAGAGAAAATATGTTTAATAATATTAAAAAAATAATTCATTTAGTTCCATAAGCAACATGGGATGAGCTCTCTTAAGCAGTTAGTAAAAGACATAAAAATAACCATCAGGTTCAAATCTAGGATTAATTTACATCTGTATTCTCCTTCAAACAACAGACATAGAATTTGACTTCAACTGCAAACTAAAGGTGCTTCCCGTTGTAGACAGAAAAATCCTCATTAAAAAGTCCCCCAGCATCCTTCTAGCAGTGGCCTCCAGTTCTCCCAAAACCTCAGGCCAGTCACACTCTTCAGGCTTGTTGATTTTCTTTAGCTTTCTCATATAAATCTTTCCAAGCATCACTCAGTTTACCTAGAATTTCTTTCCTGTTTCCCACAAATTGACCCTCTTTGTTGGGCTGACTCTTACTTAAAAAACACAGTTCAGGAGTTGCTTCCTCTGGCAAGACTTTTCTGCATTTCCTAGGCTAGTCTAGATGTCCTTATTGAGTGCAATGCTGTCCTCTCTATTACTTACCCCTTACCGCAATAGCATATTTGATTGTCTGTCTCTTCATTGTAATAGTAATTTATCTCAGGATAGGTACAACATCCATTTTACTGGGTATTTTATCCCCAGCATTTAGCATAGTAACCAGAGTACAACATGTATTCAATAAAGAATTTTCAAAGCTATGAGTTTTTTGTGTATTTACATAAAAGTTTAAAATATGAATTCTGAGGCTGTAGATGCTTTTGGATAATGGGATACCTAAATTCAGTCCTCAGTAAGTGACCTAGTACAGAATTTCTTAATTGCTGTAAATCTACCAGGTTTGTGCTTCAAGGAGTGTCTACTCATCCCTGTCTTCTGTGAATTAATGAATGAGTGTATCCTCAATCTAGCACTTCTACTTATGGGATATGGGATAAACAGACTCATGGAATATGAAGAAGCTGCAAGAGAATATATTAATGATGTTAAGAGTGAGAAAGAATTTATTAAATTCATTACATATATATATATATAATGCAATATATCCAAACCACTGGGAATCGTGTTATGAGAATTAGAAAGTATTACATCTACCTGGGTATTTAAACCTAACATTAGAAAATTGGTACTATTTTTCAAGTGTAAAATCTTATTTATTTAGAATGAATGTTGGATGAATTCAGTAGATTGCCAGAGAATAATTTACCTATGTACTATTTGGTTACACCAACAAGAAAAGAGTTACAAAAGCAATTATACATAAAAATCATGTTGAATTTATCATTGCCACATACATCTAACTCAGTCTATATCCATGCATACAACCAGAAAATATCACAAATCTATGTATGTATGTATGTATGTATGTATGTATGTATCATCTATTTATCCATTTATCCATCATCATCTATTTATGAAATTTTTTAAATGCCCCTATTCTTTCAATTAATTAAGTACTCCAAGTGAAATGTATTTGGCTAAAGCAACCAAATTTGGTTTATGCAGTCCAAATTTCAGTCCTCAATTTACATAACTGTATGTAATCCCAGAGTAAACAACAGTTTGTGAATATTTTATAATTTCTTATTAGACATTCATTTCTTTTAAGGATGCATTAATGATTCCGAAAATTCTTTCCCGTGTTTTTCATATACATACCAAAACCTACGGGCAACTTTATTGTCCATGTGCAATCTAAACTGCTTGGGTAGTTTCCAGGGAACCCAGGGCTGAGGATCACACCACTGAAATCTGACATAGCACCACCACACTGAGCTGCAAAATAATAGAGGTCTCACATAAACCAGAGTACCGGAACATTTTACTGTATTAAAAACAGATGGAAATCATTTTAAGTCTTAATCAAGTCTCTGATTTAAAACTGTTTGATATAAATTTGAATAGTCAACTCTTACTCACTGCACACTAGTAATCAAATATAATCAATTGAAAATGCATTTTCTAAAATAGCATAAAAAGACAACATCCTTCCTTCCTCAGCAATAAATGCAAGCCAAATCAATTACTGCACAGCAAGAAGTCCATGTGCAGTGAGTACAATCAACAAGGAGCACATGTCCTTTTCCACAGTGGGCAGTTTCTCATCCTTAAGTATGTCTGGTAATGTTTTGATTCATTCCAAAGATGGTATGATTTAAAACAAAATCAAAGCAACAACATCCATTCTAAATACTGCATTCAAGAGGGAACCATTTTCACAACCTTCTCTCCTTTCCTTTTTCTGTGAGGAGGCCAAATAAAGAATTTTAAGAAAAGTATTAATTTCTTATAATATGTGAAGAATTCATTTATCACATGTGGATATGGCCTCACTTGATCCTAAGAAAATCTAGACAAAGAAAAGGGAAGTACAAAATAATTAAATATGTAATCCCAGAGTAAACAACAGTTTGTGAATATTTTATAATTTCTTATTAGACATTCATTTCTTTTAAGGATGCATTAATGATTCCGAAAATTCTTTCCCGTGTTTTTCATATACATACCAAAACCTACGGGCAACTTTATTGTCCATGTGCAATCTAAACTGCTTGGGTAGTTTCCAGGGAACCCAGGGCTGAGGATCACACCACTGAAATCTGACATAGCACCACCACACTGAGCTGCAAAATAATAGAGGTCTCACATAAACCAGAGTACCGGAACATTTTACTGTATTAAAAACAGATGGAAATCATTTTAAGTCTTAATCAAGTCTCTGATTTAAAACTGTTTGATATAAATTTGAATAGTCAACTCTTACTCACTGCACACTAGTAATCAAATATAATCAATTGAAAATGCATTTTCTAAAATAGCATAAAAAGACAACATCCTTCCTTCCTCAGCAATAAATGCAAGCCAAATCAATTACTGCACAGCAAGAAGTCCATGTGCAGTGAGTACAATCAACAAGGAGCACATGTCCTTTTCCACAGTGGGCAGTTTCTCATCCTTAAGTATGTCTGGTAATGTTTTGATTCATTCCAAAGATGGTATGATTTAAAACAAAATCAAAGCAACAACATCCATTCTAAATACTGCATTCAAGAGGGAACCATTTTCACAACCTTCTCTCCTTTCCTTTTTCTGTGAGGAGGCCAAATAAAGAATTTTAAGAAAAGTATTAATTTCTTATAATATGTGAAGAATTCATTTATCACATGTGGATATGGCCTCACTTGATCCTAAGAAAATCTAGACAAAGAAAAGGGAAGTACAAAATAATTAAAAAGATGCACCCAAGTTTGACACTTAAGGCATAATTTTAAAAAGTGCTTGCTTTGGAATTCCTATTACATTGATTTACTTTTGATAAGCTAAGCAAAAATTGCAAAAATAGATAATTACTCAAGTTTTAATTTTTACATGACTAGATAAAACTATTGAACATGTATTAAAAGAGTATTTGCATTTTAGAAACTAATTCTTTCCTCTAAATATACATTTTTGTCATTTATCATAGATGGACTAAATACAGATCTGTTAATTGTAGGTTGAAGATTCAAATATTCATGGCTGCATTTCAAGTTTGAAAAGTTACCTGTATAGAACACTTACCTGCAATTTTACCCATTTATTTCTTGTTAAGAATAGCAACAAATAGATACTCAAACTTCAGGTTATATATCATAAAGACAAATTTGGTAGAAATGTTATCAATGTTCTATATGTTATTAATAATCAGATTGCCAGTTTCTATGTGAACTGAATAAATTATGTATTAGGCAGATCTCACTAGAGATATATAATCTTGGAGCAATCTACATATAAACCTTTCTTTCAAATTTGTGATTACCACTGAGTTCTAAAGATACACGTGTATATTTTTCCATCCTTCTGAAATCTCAGCTCATCCTTCTTTAAGTTATGGTAATTTTCAACATATAAGTACAAGTAATGTTTACCCATTCATTTTTCTAAAACTTTATTGTCCACATATATTCATTACACCATCTGATAATTAATGAGTGGTAGAGAAAATATTTTGGCTAATCGAAAATATTTTTTAAAGTTTCTGATAAGACGGCAATGGTTGGTTTGTTATGCTTTATTCTGAGTAAAAGAACACAAGGACTATCTTTCGCTTTCTTGCCTTCACCATCTCGTTTTGTGCCGCTCATTGTTCCTCTAATTTCCTTCACTTGGATGTGATCTGATAATCCTGTTCTCTACACTGCCCATCTTTTTAGAGTGTAAATCCAAAATCGTTGGAGAAAGAATGAAAGAGAATAAAGAATAAACATATAATAAAGGAGAAAAAAAAAGGTAAACCATGAAAGATATAGACAAGAATAAAAAAAGTTCACCTGCCCTCAACTCGTGCTTTCATGTCCATGTTCTCAGTGTCTCTGCAATCTCACACATTCCAGGCGTTTCAGGACAGTTCTGTGTGTTTTACCCGGGCCTTGTAGTGCTCTTTTCTGACCCATTGCACTCTTTTTTGTTAAGGATACAACCACAGCATAATCCTCCAATATAAAACCATCTTTGATTTTTCCTCCCGATTTGTCTCTATTACTTAAAAATCTCAACTGCCTTTTCCTTCACTCCATTACAAAATCTGGCAGATTGTTTATTTTCCAGTTCACAAGACTGTAACCTTGTTACCTGATTAGACTTGAATTTTAAGATATTCTATGGAGCAGCCTCCTGCCTTCAGTTTCTCTTTATAATATGGCCATGATGTTACTTCAAATAGTTTGTCTAGCAAATATAGTACAAGCTTACTGTCTAACGTCTACATACTACAAAACAATAAGTAGAAAAGAAATAGAAAAGCTCTGTAATTCTACTACTCACAAATAATGTATTTATTTTTATTTTTATATTTTCCCTTTCCAGAAAAATAAATAACATATGTATGTATGTTTTACTTGCATATATATAATGAACCTAGGGTCATACTGTGAATTGTTTTAAATCATTTATAGTTAACTTCATACTGTAAACTTTGGACATGTCATTAAATATGCTATTGTGATGTTCATTTTCTTTAAGTCTATTCCCCATTATTGGACACTTAGGCTATTGCCTATTTTCATTATAATCATTACCATTCTGAATGTCTTGTGTTCCAGGTTCAGCGCTGACTATTTTAAATACATTTTCTCATTTAATTTCCACATACACCAGTGAGGTGGACATGGTTCTGCCATTTAACAGGTGAGCACAAAAGCTCGAAGTATAATAAACTTGCCATACATAATGACTGTACCTTAGGTGAAATTGAATACAGATATATTGGGTATCAAAATCTGATAATTTCATATAAATTTGTCCTATATAATACAAACTTCCTACTTTGATTTTATTAAAATACCACTGCCATCTAATACTTCCCCTGTTAACAATATACAACACAAATGCAGACTTAATCAAAATGCAATATTTTACCTAATATTTGTTAAGAATGAAAATCAGTACTACTAATATAGCAAAATGGAAATTGCCGTATAATACTGGGATGGCAATTAAATGTATAAAATCTGAAAGTAATTCGGCAGTATTCACTAAAGCTTTTAAATAGATATATGTAATAGCATAACAAAAATCTATGTAAATAAAATTCTAACTAAACAATCAGAGGTGTACATGAAGGCACGTGAAAAAGACTTATAAATGAGTACCAAAAAAGACAAGAAAATAAACTCAAAGCAAAAGGGAATAACTATGCAAATTAGTCTATGCTATGAGCTATGAACCCATTTTAAAAACCAAATTTCTTAATGTATACTATGGAAAATTGTTCAAAGCTCATGTTAAGAAGGAAAATATTATTAAAAAATATGTAGTATAGAATCCCTAATGTTGTATTAATTTATTCATCAAACAATATTTATTGGAGGCCTACTTAAGAAGAGTAATATTCTAGGCACTGGGGATATAGTAATGAAAAAGAGACCAAAGCTCTTTGCTGTCATATGAGCAGAATATATATTTCACTATTTTGTTCTCTGTACTCTTATTTTCCTAATTTTTTAATATTCAATTGGATACACACACACACAAACATACCCCTTTATTGGTATTGTCTGTATATATAAATTTTTACAAAAGACATTGCATGTTTACATGTAATTTTATAATTGGCATTACATGCATTTGTAAATTACAAATTACCTGAAGAAATATGTCCTTCAAAAATATCATCCAATCTAAAGTCTGAATGCTTTCAGTATCTTTTGCCAATTAAACACATGTTTACTCTTGAACATTTTTCCAGTATTCTGCAACAAGAATTGTGCCCTTGGTATAGGCATTACAGAATGGATTGTATCTCCCATTATTCATATGTTAAAGCCCTGACCCCCAATGTGACTGTATTTGGAGATTAAGTCCTTTACAGAGGTAATTTAAGTGAAATGAAGTCATAAGGGTGCAGCCCTAACCTATTAGTGCTGGTGTCCTTATATAAGGAAGGGACACCAGGAATGCTCTCAGATAGAAGATGATGTGGAGATGCAGGGAGAAGACAGCTATCTACAAGCCAAGAGACAGGCCTCAGAAGAAAACAACACTGCCAGCACCTTCATCTTGGACTTCTAGCTTCTAGAACTGTGAGAACATAAATTTCTGTTGTTTAAGCCATCAATCCATGGTATTCTGCTATGACAGTCCAAGCAGATTAGTACAGTACACTTTTGATTACTGTGAGGAAGTAGATAACAGGCAACACACCAGTTCTTTTGCTTTGTCCTTTTCCTACTCAGAAAGAGCTGTCTTCCTCATCTGTTTATCTTAATTACACTTATTACCCAAAACTCTGTGTAAATTTTATGGGGTGACTATGTTTCCCAATAACTTCAGCCAACTCCAGTCTCATCTTTCTGAAATGTCATCATGCTGTCAATGGTAAAATTTAACACTAAATTATTCTCCTGTATCATTTCTTTTATTTCTACCACTCTGAATGGTAAATGATTATTTTTGAGATAGGTATCATACTTCACACTTCTTTTTCATATTTTGTAGAGCCAAGTATATTAACGGTTACATACAGATGCCAGGAAGAAAACAGAAAAATTATGGGTGGATACAAATAATTGGAAGCAACTAAGTTAGGGCAAAAATTAGGGCTCATAGTTTCAAAGCCCCAAGTGCCCTTTTGATATATTCCATGTATCAATTGCCTATCATTGCTGAAGACATCTCACAAGGTGTAATTCGCTCTTTGGTACCCCAGATTCCTCTTCTATTCTGGCTCCACGGTAAGCAGTAGTATATTTACTTATATGCCTGATGTGTGGGCACTTCTACCGTATCATGCTGAGAAAACTCTTTAGGGATCAAAAAAACCTAATACTTTTTCTCAATATCTACAGTTTTAAGTCTCCATTGTTATTGACATTTGGGTAAAATATTATAAAAACTTAAATAAAAAAATTCTCAAAAGTATGAAACATATCTCAAAATATCATTCTCATAAAATTCAACACAAGGCAAAATGTATGTTGGAACAGCATCACATACAGGGTGTATCTTTAAGATTTGACAAAGCTTATAAATAATTTACAGTTTCTTAACTTACCCAAACAAATTGGAATTGGGTAATTCCATCTTCTCACAGGTCCAGGCATACATGTAATGTGAGAATGACCCTATATAACGACAGTGCAGTTCAGGACACACTTTAAAAACTCTAAAATAATCTAGTGAATGATTATTACAAAAAAACTTAAATATATATGGCCATTTATATATACAATTTTTAACTTTAACTGGGATTCAGTATGATTTTAAATAAGAAAGATAATTATGTAACGTGATTCAATGTGAAAAATAACAAGGCAATGGTAGAAAAATTAAAATTTTGTATCACAATAGAAATGTGGTTTTAACATGTTTTGTCAAAACATGTTCTACTAAGATAAATGCAATGATTATATAAGTAAAATGGCCATATACATAGCTGTTTATAATAATTGCTACAATATTCAAGATAGGTTAAAGAATAATTATAAAATTATTTTATAAAATATAAAAATAAGTCAGTTAAGGTATATTAGTTTTTAATTGAAATATAAAGTCCTGAAAGATCTGATTACATGTCTGAAACAAAAAATGTGATACAACTTTAAAACTATAAATTATTAATTTTTAATTTTGCTTCTGAGAAATTTATTTAATGAACATGTGAAATAGATCCTGCATCAATTTTTTCCCCTATTTTCTTAATAGGTCTACCCATTAAGAAGATTTTAATGAGTCCATAAATTTGAGACCCTCCAAAACACCTCCAAAAGA